ACCCTGGGGGACTGTAAATTCACATAAATTGTTAATTTCGTGCGTTAAAAGTTTTGCCGTTGGCTGCGTATCCGCGGGACAGAGTTCTCAACCCCCAACCCAAAGGTTTAAGGTTCGCGTCCGTCCTTGATGCTTGCTTGAATAGGCTGTTTTGGAATTTCCGTGGGGAGACTGCTCTGTTACATATCACTAATTAAGAAATCGGCAGCTTTTATGATCTAGCACATTTTTGATTATCCAGGGGTGAAATATTTCAGATGCATAATTTCTTCGAAGTAGTGCGAAAAATTGGAAGTAAAAAGGCTTAAGAACTATACTGTCTGTGTTGTTGTTTGGTGTTCAGATCATAACTGCACGAAAAGTGCATTCTTAGGAGATGCTGACTTTTGCAGATGTTACCTAATCATTATATCATCACTTTAATGACATTAAACTTTGCAAGTCACATCTCACAATTGAGGAACACAACTAAACTGATTCTTAAAATAATTAATTTCCAACCATCTCAATCGGTTGACTACACTACAAACATGGTCCGTAGAAGAACTGAAAAGAGCCAACAAAGCTTTGAGCAAACGGTAGTTAGAACACCTATTTCCAGCGTACAGAAAACCACCAGTCACGGTTCACTTCAGCACAGTCATAACATATAAGGGCGGTAAGCACACTGTGGATCGGAACTGTGGATGAATGTGCTATCATTATAAAGTTAACGTTTGCAACGTTATATAGAGCAAAGTGGTGTGTAGTGCTGGCCCGTAAAGTTCTCAGACTTCACCTGTTTGAAAGTCATTCAGAATGCGATTAACTGAAAACCAGCTGTTTCTTTTAGGCATTTGACGTGATCACTTTTCTTTCTTTTGTAATATCATTTTGGTCACAAACTGTGAATGCATTCACGAGTTAAACTAATCCAGTCGCATGATCGCTCAGTGATTAAAAACACAATCCTATTCTAAACCGTACTGTCTTCTTAAATCGCTATTGGATTCGCTTCATTCTTTTGACTTTCAATAGTCCTACTGATGAGTGATTTATTGTTACGGCGAGACACCCGGTTCCGCTTTGCACCGAATTATTCCTCCACCTATTGATCATCTTTCCATGCGAATAACCATGGTTCAAACACCCTTAGGTTTCCTGCGTTCTGGTGCATTGCGCGGAAAGTTACTTACTTTTGTCTCTGTTATCAAGACAAATCTTGATTAGTGGATTTGATGTTTTATGCGGACACCAAGATATACTAGGATGAAATAGCACTTTTAATTGGGGGACTAGTACCCCTCCTTACTGTAGCCCTCCTAGTTTAGATCCTCGTATCAGCTATGTGTATTTGGGAAGTTGATTCACAGTAATTGACGGTCAAACCCCTGTAAATCACCCTACTGGCTGTTTTAGCCGGGTTTATTGCAGCCGAGACGTTTAACAGCACTTCAGTGTGACATTACATTGCTTTCTTGCACTTGGTTGTGAAAAGGATTGAGATGCATCCCCGAACAGAAGGACTGAATGATACCGAAGACTCAATTTCGTGACAAATATAAGTGATTCATCTCTGAATTTCTGGGGGACAGCTTCATACATGAGTAAACGCGGTGAAGTGGGCTAAGAAACGCATAGAACTGTACTTGGTCAGCGGAATCTGGTCCACGACCTGCGGGTACATGCCCCCACCATCACCATGGAGGGCAGATACTGTAGCAACCAACTCCTGCTTTATCGTCTGCAATCATCGTTGGCAAATTAACCGTATAAGCTGCCTCATTCGAGTGATTATGAAAATGATCTTCTCTTCATGTGTTCTGTGGAGAAGATATATTCATGTATGCACAAAAGTTCTGATCAA